GAGCGGGGGCAGGTGTGGAGTGAGTGTGCGTGAGCGGGGGCGGGTGTGGGGTGCACGAGTGAGTGTGCGTGAGCTGGGGCGGGTGTGGAGTGAGTGTGCGTGAGCTGGGGCAGGTGTGGGGTGCACGAGTGAGTGTGCGTGAGCTGGGGCAGGCATGGGGTGCACGTGTGAGTATGTGTGCTGGGGCGGGTGTGGAGTGTGCATGTGAATGCATGAGCCAGGCCATGCGGGATGGAGTCACTTCTCAGAGTCTCTGCCTTCACCGCGGTGGCAGCGGCTGGGTCAGCCCGGCCTCCCGTGCCCGGCCCAGAATTCTCTCGCTGGCACGATGCAGGGCAGCCCCGCCGCGAGCTCTCAGGCCAGAAACGGGGTGAGGCCCGTAGGTGCCTCCCAGTTTGGCTCACTGTAAGGCGTGACCAGAAAGGGATTGTAAGAACACAGCCCGCTTCGTAGCGCGTCACAGATGTTGTGTTTTCTTGGAAATGGAAGGAAAGACGCCGACTCGTGTTGCTGCTGTGGTCTGGAGCCGAGCCGCGGCCCTGCGAGGCCTGCCGGTGTCGGCAGCATCCGGGAGAAGGAAACAGGAGGGAAGCTGACCTTAACCAGTACGGCCTTCCAGCGTGTGGCGTAGTCATAACCAGGCTACTGTCAGAGTGCGACGGCGACAGTCGTGACCTGTGGTCACGCCGTGTTAACCGTGCACGCTTTTCAGTCACGTAGCACACACAGTCTTTCCATGTTGCTTGTGAAGGAGGATGCGAACTCCTTCCCCGATCGTGATTGGCGTCCGAGGAGGGGTTCACAGCTGGCCGGGCCGCTGTCCCAGTGGGGTACAGTCCAAAGCCATGATTGGGTGGAGTGTGTCGCCCTCAAGCCTTTAATAGAGAATAGTCAGTGGGGTGAGGCTGGGGCGTCTCAGGAGACTGCACGGGAAAAGGAGGGCGTCCTGCCTGAGGGGGTAGTGACCATGCGAGGGTGCCACCTGCTCCTGGGACACTTGTCCTCCCAGCCCCGAGCTCCCAGCCCTGGCTGCAGGCAGGGACAGGGACGTGAGAGCACGTCCTGAGGGCATGTCCCCCCTGCGGTAGCAGGGGCCTGGCCTGGCAGGGAGGTTCCAGGGTGCTCCAAGCTCTTCCCGGAATGCACGCGGTGGGCCCGCAGCCCCACATCCCGTTGTGCGCGTTGGGCTGGTCTCGTGAGCAGCACATTCTCTGCAGCAATGTGCTCCCGAGTGTCGAAATGGCCACCTGGGAGCTTTTAGGAGCTCACCTTCTTAGTTCAGGTAACGCCAGGTGCGGGGGTGTGGCGGGCTGGTTGTCCAGGTAGGTCGTCTGACAAATTCCAAATAAGTTGGCAAATTTGTTCCAAGTCATTAAGCAGATTACACAACTTAAAGACCCACAGATGCTTCCATGCCTTCTGTGCTTCCAGCAAGACTCAGCTGGCAGTCACACAGGAAAAGAAGCTGCTGATGATGGGAGCCCCGGGCAGCTGTCGCCCCACCACCGAGGCCCCCTCGGGCCTGCCTGGCCGCCCCTGAAGAAGTGAAGCTCATAGGTCAAGTCCCAGGGCAGGTGCTGCTGCTGTCAGCGTAGAGCCCCACCCCCACGGAGGAGATGTCACTGGCGGGTGACTGTCCCTGTGAAGGCTGGATATTTTCTGTGGAAAGGACTTCCCACGTGGCTTTTGTCCTCAAGGACCCAGACACCAGCCAAGTCGCAGCCACCTGCAGCTGCTCCTTCAGTCCCTAACCCTGGAGTCCCCACGTCCACCTTGGCCCCAGGACAGGCCCCACTGTGCCATTGGTGGCCTGGTGGCCAGAGTAGAGTGCCATAGCCACCTGGGGAAGGTGGTTGGCAGAGCCACCTCAGCCCCCAGGGGCCAGGCAGTGGCAGCACTGTCACATTTGTCTGCTCCCTCTGTCAGCACCGCCTGCCTCTCTGCCCCGGAGGCCAGCCGGGGTGGGGGCCCACGGGTCGCTGGAAGGACCACTGGGGCGACCTGCTGGGCTTCGGTGTCACTCCGGGCGGCCACCCACGTGGCCCACACCAGTCCCTAAGCTGTGTCCCCTGTTCCCTCCAGGAAGACGCAGCACAGCTCCCTGGACCAGAGCTCTCCGCCCCAGAGTGCGGCATCGGCCACCTACAAGCACCCGGCCCTGGGCATGTATGACGCCAAGGACGACTTCCCTCTGCGGAAGACAGGTCAGTGCCTGCCGGCTCGGCAGGGGGTCCTGCGCCCCACTCCCCCAAGCCCAGGCCACGCTGCCCTGTCGCACCCAGGGGTCAGTACATGCTGCTGGGCCCAGCGGGGGGGTGTCCTGCGCCGGCTGCCCACTCCCCACTGCCCACTCCCCTGAGCCCGGGCCACACTGCCCTGTCTCACCCAGAGGTCAGTACACGCTGCCAGGCCCGGCGGGGGGGTCCTGTGCTGGCTGCCCACTCCCCCAAGCTGGGCCATGGTGCTGTGTCGCACTCTGGGATCCCTTGCTCGCTTCCGGTGTTGGCTCTTTGATCAGCTTCCTTTAAGGGCGACGCTCCTGAGGGTTCCCGTGGGACCTCGTGCGGGCCTGCTCCCTGAAACGCACTCACTCGTGAACAGAATTTAAGCTTTCTCTTCTCTTGGCGGCATGCTGTACTTTGTCCCAGCCCGAAGTGTGCCCTGGTGGGTGTGGGGACATGGCAGCTCCTGATGATGGGCCCAGAGGTCTTCTCGTCGGCCAGAGCCTGGGCGGGGGAGCTTGGGGCCCCAGTGGGGGGACAGCTGTGAGAGAAAGATGCAGGGGCGTCACAGGTGGACGCCTGAGGTCCTCGCAGCAGTTGTCACATACCAGTAGGGGACAGCTCCTGAGCCGTGAGCAGGGGCCTGCTCTCGGACCTTCTCTGGCGGTGCTGGTGTAAGTGGGCGATGGCCGTGCCCTGGGGCTGCAGGAAGGCCAGGGCGGGGCAGATGCCTTCCAGAGGCTTCGCTCTGGCCAGCGGGTGTGAGTGGCTGCAGGGAGAGCCCTGGGCGGCAGGGCTCGGTGGGGACCGCGGCCTGATGGAAGGCTCCGCGCCGCTCAGCTTTTCTCCGTGGACACAAATCTCGTTGCCTCCAGAGGATTCGGATCAATCTGGGTTGGGTCGGGACCACAGTGCTATAGAGCGGTCACACCCAGCTCCATCTCCGCCATGTGGTGAGGCACCGGGGCTTCACCGGCCTCCCCATCCGAAGTCAGAGGATAGAGGCATGGGGATGCAGGGCCCCCCAGGCAGAGCTGCACCTGGAGCGGTGTTGGGGGTGGCAGACCCGGGGTCAGGAGCTGGAAGCTGCAGGGATGAGAGTTTGGTTAGGCCCCAGGGAGACGCGTGAGGTGGCAGGGCCACATCAGGACGGCCACATGCCTGGTGCTGAACCCCGATCCCGTGACCGAAATGCGAGGGGCTGGTGGTGCCCCTCCCCACCACGGGTGAGGGTCCTGAAACCTGTCAGCCCTTTGCTGGCCAAGTCCAGCTTGAGTACGTGGTTCTCACTCACTGAGTGCTGAGCATGGTCCTGGGTGTCCCCTGAGGACGCCCACCAGCCAGACAGAAGGGGTGTCTGTCAGCGCCCGGGCCCGACCCACACCCCCTTTCTGGGGACTGCTGCTGTCATTAACCGTGCCAGCTCTCGGTGGGCGTGGGGCCCCGCCCAGGAGAGGGACCGGGGCAAGGGCCCGAGAACAGCCGCCCTCCATCCGCTCCTCCCTGGGCTCAGGGACTGCTCGCCCTCGGGTTCCACTGGAGGTACGCAGGCTCCAGAACTTAATCAGAGTGTGGCTGCGGTATCGAGTCTTTAAAAAGGCACATTAATAACATCAGGAACGTGCACATTTCAGAGGAATGCTTAGACCACTTAAGGGAGCAGAGCGCAGTTTGGGCATCACCCTGGAGTGTCACGTGATGGCTCTGATGCCAAGTGACTTAGAGCTGTGCGCGTCTGCCGGAGCCGGCCGTGTGAAACGCCATCAAGTTCCAGCAGCGGAATGCTGCACACGAATTAAAACAATCACTTTGAAAACACGTGACATTAAACAATCCCACGACGTCAACTTCACACTAGTTTAGGTTGGCCCTGCAGCCTGCTCACCTCTCAGTCTCTACAGAGCAAGTACGCAGTGTGTGAGCGTGTAAAATAAAGCCTCATACTCACCTCTCACTGTTCACACGTCTTGCTCATGTCACATGTGGTGGCCTCCGTGGTGACATTGCCACCCGTTCTGACCCCCGAGAGCAGCTCATTCATTTGTCCATAAAATGGGGCACCAGCGCCCTTGAAGGCACAAGGGTGGCCCGGTCTTGACGAGGGCTTCCTTCTCTGCGCTTCCCTGAGAGACCTCGCAGACGGCAGGCGTGTGGGACGCGGGCCGCCTCCCCACTGAGCAGGCGGCTCCCATGTGGCGTCCCCTCCAGACCCTGACCCCTGTCAGACTCGAGCCCCTCCCAGTAGGAACACACCTCCTTCAAACCGGGGCACTTCACTGCTCAGTGGCTGACAGCATGAGGCCACCCGGGGGAGCCTGCCACCTTGGGCCATCACGTAGAGCGCATTTTATGAAAAAGTCACAGAACTGAAGCACGCTTATCCTAAAAGAAACACAAGCCCGCACAGCCGGAGGCTTACTTCCTAGACGGCTGCTG